ACAACTAGAAGGAAGGAATCTGATCATTTTGGTTTGGGCTACATCAAAAGAAAAGCAGCTTCAGAAGGAGACACTGTGATTGTTGGAGACGAGGTAGTTGGTACAGTTGTGGAAGTTCCTTTTCTTTCCAGGCAATGCCCTCCACCGAAGAGCTCCAGCCCTTGACTCACAGTGGTCATGTAGATGAAAGAATGAGCTTCTAGTGCACTCGATGTTTTGTCATTTCTATTTTCTACTAAAAAGCCTCACTCATCTTCTAAAGAATCTAAACAGGCAATACAAATACTTTAAATTGAATTGCATGAAAGATATCTAACTCTTGTAATGTTAGTGACTGTAAATGCTCGTGCTAATCATAAGTACAATCCTGCAAGATGGTATAAACTTCAGAACGCTGCTGATCAGTCAACTCTGCTGGAAATTGGACAAGAAAAGTAGCTCTCAGGTCACCTCTTCTCCCTTTGGCATTGGTCATGCCTTGGCCTTGGATGACCTTCTTGTATCCTGGATAAATGATGTCTTCTATGGACAAGCTTATCTTTTCTCCTCCCAACAGAGGCACTGACAGTGAGCAGCCTGTGAGAGCCATGACTAAAGGGATCTCCACCGCAATCTCCAAATCATCAGCTTTTCTCCGGAACAGGGGATGCCTCTGTTCTTCTATCACAAAGATGATATCTGCAGGGAGGTATCCTGGTTTCTCGTCGCCCTTCCCTTCAAAGGTAACCTTTGTTCCTTTCTTCCATCCTGGTTTCAACTTTATTATCAATGTCTCACCTTCCTGCAGAATAAACCTGCTCAAAAATAATCTCATCAGTATAACAAGTTAAATCTTCAGAAAAACCATTTCTAGTTCAAGAAACCAACCCTTCTTTTGAGACGACGTCTTTAGTGATCTTGATCCTTTTAACGCCACCAAAGCACAGCTCCTCCAGCGTACAATCAAGCTTTTTCTCGACTGGTGGAGGTCTCCTCCGTGCTATGGAGTGAGAGAACTTAATAAGATTAGCACTCCTGCTCGTTCTTCTCGACAAGCTGGGTATTTCTATTTCTTCTGATGGCCTCCTTTGAATTACTGACTTGCTTCTCTGACTATTGCTTCTTAAAAAAGAGGAAGGGGAGTTTCGACTCTCGCTTCCTGATAAACCATGGCTATCAGATTCTCCCAGGCTATCCCTGCTCTGGCTCTTTGACAGAGGGCCAGAGGAAGACGATCTAGCCGAAGGTGTTCGGCTTCTCCTACTTAAGCTCTTTGCAAGAGAAAACGGACGTGAAAAGAAGTTTTCGTCGATGCTCCGATCACCATCTGCACTTCTTATCGAATCCTCATCATTTTCAGATTTCTCCATTTGCTTCTTTCCATTTGCGGCCTAAAATGGGAAGAACAGAGAACCATAAATCTTTACATTCTAAAAAAACCGAAAGGGGTTCCCTTTTGTCCTTCCCTGAAAGATTGAAAAGTATAATATGAAACAAGAAAAATGTCTTACGGAATATTTTTTGCATGAATTTGCATGGATCTATATGTACCTTATGTGCCTTGTCGCGATCTTTTATCTTTCTTTCCTCTTCCGTTTTGTGGTATAGAGCTTTATGATTATCAGGGCACCATTTGGTGACATTGGTGACTAGAGATTTGTAGGCCTTGCCCATATTAATTGATGCTGTTTTAGAGATACCCAACATACTGGAAAGATCTGTCGACAGTGCTCGGGAATTACTTTGATGATTCCGGTGATATCCTCCCGTGAGAGAGAGAAATTCAGGATAAAAGGGAGGAAGGAGAAGGAAAAGGGGAGGAAAGGCAGGAGAGAGGAAGAAAGAAGGTAATGTGCTTGAGATCAGAGGTAGAGCACATTGTGGGGGCTTATTTTTAGGAAGAAAGAAGGTTGTTTTTGGATGTTGAGAATAGGATGGATGGTGATGCTTTAATTAATCAGACCTGGAATTAAACGAAATAAAAGGCAGATTAATGACATCAGTTTATGGCCAAGGCAATTAAAGCATTTTGTGATTTTCTAATACTGAAAGGAGGAGGTGGAAGATTTTAAATTCAAATTTCTAAATGTGCAGAAATAGATCTTAAAAATTAATAGATATCATAAAATTTTAAGTGAAAAAATAATCTCATTGATAAAAATTAAAATATTTTAATTTTTAAAATAAGAAGATTTTGCTTTAATTTTTATTTTTGATGGTACATTATTATAAAGACATAATTTTTTAAGTATTTTCGATTTAACTTTTTATAATACAAGTTAATATTTATTAATTTCATAAATTAATGAGAAGATTAATCTTATCGCATAACTAATATACATATCATAGATTATCTCTCATTCCTCTTTTGAATGCTGCTTTTTCCTTACCCAATGGCTGGCTTTGTTATTGATTAATGACACGACTGACCCCATATTTTTAAGAGAAAAATGTTTATCAATAGATTCCTCCCATCCAAACAAAAATTTTCAGATTACACAAATGAAAGCTTCATGTTTTACAAATCTAATACTAAGCTAACTTATTTATCAGAAAATAGTCATAACAACAGAACTCTGGTCGAGGTGCCTGAGGTCGGAACTGAACGAGAATGGTAAACTCAAAATCCAAAGGCAAACTACTTAACCTTAGCACAAAAGACAAGAAAGAAGAAATTCTATAGCCCATCGTTCTCCTTGCTCGCCTCTTCTGCATCATCATATTCAGCACGATCATCATCATCATCATCTTCGTCACTATCATCATCATATAAACTGCCTTGAGAAAATTTGAACTCATCTTCTTCATTTTCGTGAAGGAATTCCAGCCCATAATTTGAGTCCCGGTGTTTAACTAGAAGCCATCGAAGCAACCTGTCTTCCTTGTTCAGGTAATGTAGCTCCTTGTTGATATTGGGTGTAGCCATCATAGTCATCTGCATCAGTTGGCCCTACACCATGCACAACAGAGAACAACAGTCATTCGATTCATCCATTCATCAAAATCAAAATTGTTATATTACAGAAATATGTAAACAAGTCTAACATTAATAAGACCACATAGCATCATAATACAATTCCTGACAACTAAATCTTTAGATACACTTCAAAAAGTACAGCTACTTGAATTTGATTTATGATGATTACACAATACATATTCCAAAAATCATTCAATTCAAAATTAAGCTCTTAAAGGGTAAAATTGGCTCTCTTCTTGAGATTTCATTCTCATTATAGGTTCGAGGCTGCATGAAAATACACATAAAAAGCAAGATCTTGAGCATGTAGCAATTGCATACATCGATTATGGATCTCCTACTTTGAAGCTGGGGATTGCCATTTGTTCCCTGTTATTCCCTTTGTTTCATTTTTTTTCTCTTTCTTCAAGTGATAAGAGAACTATGATCCAGGCCATGCTTATCAAACTAGATATGTTTATTCCATTATTTACTGATACTATAGTTATTTGTAGTTAATGTTAACCCAAAACAAGATCATTAGTTATTCAATATTACCACCATACTTTTCTTTTCAGGTGTTCCTTATCCTCGCTTATAAGATTTCAACTTCTAATATAAAGTTGGAGATCACGCCATCACTTACGGAACTTTAACATACAAGCAAAGTTCAACTGGCCACCAGAAAGAGTTTACCCAAGTTGGTAAACATAAACTATGAAAACCTTAATTTGGAGTCAACGTCAAGTGTTAAAAACAATGGTGGTAGACAACCATAAGAGCATTAAGTATTTGTTTACCTACATTCTGACAATGCAAAACAGATCTCCATTCTGATTTCACCATCCATATTTCAAGGCCAATATTAATGACACTAAAAAAGAACTAAATGTGTTGAAAACTTCAAGAAATAAAATGATGAAGAACTAATTTAGTACTCCGTGGTTTCCCCACACCACTGTTTTATGAAATATGACCGAGAAAGTGTTTATAAAAGATATTAAAATGAAAAGAAGATCACTAAAATTAACTGACTATGTCCTAAAGCCATGAACCATAATTCTATACACAGCAAATAGAGATTAAAGTTTAACAAGAAAAAGATTATTTAACAACAATGAATAGAAGAGCAGACAAATTCAAAGAAATCTCCCCCAAAGGCAAAGCAATATACCATAAAGATTCAGTCTAACCAATAAAGTATAAAGCTTTATTCAACAAAACAATATGTTTAAATTAGCAACCACGTATAAGAGCTAACCATCACATACCATTCACATTATCTCTTTCCCCTTCAACTGGGGCGGAGTTAGGATATATGATTCAACTAAAATCCAGTTCTTAATGTAGCAAATTGTAAGCATATATTTGAAATTGAGTCTCAAATGAAAGCTAAACAAACTAGCAACGTGAAATGTATAACTAAAAAAAAAAAATGAAAACTCAAATCAACTTGCCCCAGCCAGATTCTCAATGTACCAAATTTTGAGTGCTAATTTGAGCCTCAAACAAAACCCATGAACAAACTATCAGAGTGACACACATGAGAAAAGCAATGAAAACCAATGAAAATAAAAGCAGTAAACTTTTCACCTTGTAGTATCTTCCATCAAGCTTCTTAATACCGTAGCCCAACTGAACTGTCCCAAATGATTTGATATCAGTAAGAACCCCATTCCTACTGTAAACATGTTTTCCCACTCTTGCTACCAAGTCCTTCAACGCCTCCTTCTTCACATGAGGTTTCAGTAGAAGCATACAATCATATAGAGGCATTTTTCCAGTCTCTAGCTAAAACCAACGGCAAGGAATTGGTTAAGGACTATTTATGCCTTACATATATAGTAAAAGAATGATAAATGATACATAATTATCGTGAACAAATCTAGAGCAGAAAAGGGCCAAACTTAACTCTAATAATATGATTACAAATAGCTCAGACTTATCAAGGATTTAAATTCACTCCTTTCTATAATCATCGAAAGAAAAAAAAAAATCCAACAAATTCAAATGTTTTTTTCGAATTTACAGCCAAAGTTGATAGTTTTTAGTGCTGATTGATGGAAAAAAAAAAAAAAAACAACCTTTACACTAACAAGAGAGAAGGAACGTTCAAAAAATTATGGAGAGAAATATAGAATCCATTTTAAACGCACAATAATCAGACGAAGATTTTGTTCATTTTGGCCAAACAAGGAAAATAATCATCGATGAAGAGAGCGATATAGAGGAAGCACCTGTAACTGTAACTCTTTGCGTTTGTTCTTCGAATTGCCACTGGAGCGATCAAATCTAAGAGTTGAGGGGGCGATTCAGTTTGGGGAAGATGCAGAAAAACCCTCTGCAATTCTTTTCTTTTGGAATAATGGTTGAGGGGGCCGAGCAAGACCAAGAAAACGTGGCAATGCAACGTCCGTCGGATTTATTTATATCTTCTCCGTTTTTATTTAGATGAAAGCGGTAAACAAATGCTAGGCACTTGAATTTATAAGATTTTGACTTTAAACTCCAACTAAAAAAACGATATTATTGTCAAAAAAAATGAAATATGAATATTTTAATTTAATAGATAAATAATATTTTTTTACGGTCTACTATTTAGGATTTTAAGGTTTAAATTTTTTCTAGCTTGCCAAAAAAATAGTTTAAATTTTTTCAGTATTTTGGTGTCATTTTTTATTCAATAATTAGAATATTAGAGTTCAAATTTTTAAAGTGATAAGAAAGTTTAAAGTTTACAATTTTCAAAGTTTAGTATTTTGGCAATTAAGGTTTATATTTTTTAAGATTTACTAGTATTTAAGGTGATAGGGTTTAGATTTTTGTTGTTAGGTTTTAGGGTTTAATTTTTTTATTATGACTTAAATTTTTTAAGATTTAGTGTTTAGTGTGTTAAGGTTTAAAATTTTCAAGTTTATATTTTCAAAATTCAATATTTATGGATTATGAGAGACAAGTTATAATTTTAAGATTATTTTTTCAATTAAAAACTAATTAAAACAAAATATAAAATTAAAAACTAGTAAAGACTTAAAAATAAAAA